GTTGCTTCAAGAACCTGCCCCCCTCGGGGATCACACATGAGTGGCAGGGACCCAAACACTTGGGTCATTATTTGGCGCCTCCCCGGTGCATTAGCAAGGAGTTGGATCAGAAGTGGAGGTGGCATTCTATGCCTAGCACTCCGGTAGGTGGTGGCTTAGCCCACTATACCACAATGCCAACCCCACCGAATTCATCTTAATCTGCTGGATTGCCGGATAACAGCGTTCTAATTTTCTCTGTACATTTGCTTTCTGGTCTTGTCTTCTTACTTTCCCTTTCTTTGGCTTTGCTCACCTTCTGCCAGGAGGGGTCAAAGTGCAAAGCAGTCTCTGCTTTCTTTTGGGGTACAGTCAGAATCACATCTATGCTTTTGAGGGTGACACCTGTTGCATCCCCATCCTTTTTTAAGTTCTGTTTTTCTTCTTGTGGAGTTCAAATGGTTACAACAGCCAAGACTAAGACAGGAGCCAGGAACTCCGTCCAGGTCTCCCACGTGCACACCGGGGCCCGGCCACTTGGATCATCCTCTGCTGCTTTCCCAGGCGCATGAACAGGGAGCTGGATGGGAAATGGAGCAGCCGGGACTCGAACCCACACACATGGCATGCCAGTGTCACAGGTGGTGACTTAACTGGCTGTACCACAATGCTGGCCCCTGCTTTACATATTTTGGAAATGTGGCATTGGTGGCGGGGTGGGGTACCTCCTGCTGAGGCAACATCTGCATGGCTGTAGTCTATTTATCTCAACTGTTTATCTCTACCCTTGCTACTTAGCTGGAGGTCTGTTTTGTCTCCTGCGATTTCAAGACGCCAGCTGTGTGGGGGTTAGTATGCCTGTGATGCTGACATCATATAGGCATGCAGGTTTGAGTCCTGGCTATTCTACCTTCAATCCAGTTCCCTGTTAATGTGCCTGGGAAAAAAAAACAGAGGATGGCCCAAGTGCTTGGGTCCCTATACCCACATGGCAGACCTGGAGGAAGGTTCCTGGTTTGGGGCAGGACCAGCCCTGGTAGTTGTGCCCATCTCTGCCTTTCTAATAAAAAAAAAATAAACAGAGGGTGCTTACTATGTTTTCTTTAAATTGGCCTGGACAGACTAGGGCAGGTCCAGGGTGGAACTTCGCATTCCAGCTTCCTGCCCATGCTCATCCTGGGAGGCAGCAGGCAATGGATCAAGTCCTGGGCTCCCCTGCCACCCTTGTGGAAGACCCAAAGGGAGTTCCTGGCTCTTGGCTTTGGTCCAGTTCTGATCTGACTATTGCAGGCATTTGCGGAGTAATCCAGTGAATGAAGCTCTCTCTCACACACACACATTCTCTGCCTCAAATAGGGGCCAGCATTGTGGCATAGCGTGTTAAGCCACTGCCTACGATGCCAACAACCCCTATTGGAGTCTAGGTTCGAATCCTGGCTGCTCTGCTTCCAATTCAGCTCCCTGCTAATGTGCCCGGGAAAGCAGCAGAGGCTGCTTGGGGGCCCCTGCACACATGTGAGAGACCTGGATGGAGATCCTGGCTCCTGCATTAGGCCTGGCCCAGCTCCAGCTGCTGCAGCCATTTGGAGAGTGAAATCTATGGATGGAAAAATTTCTCTGTGTCCCCTTCTCTATCTGTAACTCTGCCTTCTCAGATAAATAAATCTCCAGTCATACATCATCATCCTCATCCATTAGCCATCGGGAGCCCTTCCTGTGCTGGTGATAAAAGTGGCCCATGTGCCAGGGTTCTGCGGTCCCCCTTCACAGCCAAGAACATCAAGGCCCCACTGTCACCCACATCCCACACATACATCAGGTGGCGGGTGTTAGCTCCTCAGTCATCAGCCCCTGCCCGAGAAAGTATTTAAGTTGCTTTTGACAATGCACTGATTGGAAGCGAATTAAGTGGCAACTAGAATTTATTAATAACATTGGAAATAAATCCCCTTGGCATTCAATTAACTGGGAACCTCCTGAAGTTCTCTTTTCATCATCCAGAAAACACATCTGGGAGGCAGGGATTCTGGAATCCAAGGCATGGGTGGTGCCAAGCACAGGGGTGGGACGGTCTCAGCATGGAGGGAGTGGATGTGCTCTGATTTGGGCTGGTCTCGGATGCCCGTGTGTACCTGCTCTCAGAGATGAGGCTGGTACCCCTTGCCCGTTGTGAAGGCCCTGTGACGTGTCAGTGATCTCTGTCACTGCAGCGCCCACCTCTTCTGCTCCTGGTGCCAATGGCTGGTACCAGGGACATAGCCACTCACTGACCACTGGGGAGGCAGAGCTGCAAGGGCATCCCTGGAGGTCCTAGCAGGTGACAGCTGGGGCTTGGGCACTGGATGGGGTTCAGTGGGGCTTGGGCTCTGGATGGGGCCCAGCAAGGTTTGGGCACTGGATAGCATCCAGTGGGGTTTGCGTACTGAAAGGGGCTCAGTGCCAGGGTCGGGTTGTTCTTGCCACTTGTGGATTCTTGGGCAGGCTGAGAACAGTGGGTCCCTACCACATGGTGCCACCTTTCATGGGCACCTGACCTAAATCCTCAGCTGACTGGAGGGGCTCCTAGTGGCTGGCTGTGTTGGGGCAGGCAGAGAGCGTGGCTGAGTTCCTCAGGAACCCGCCCAGGACTCCGCTTCAGAGATCCTGCCTTATAGTCAAGGCACTGCCTGAGCATGTGCCTGCTGCAGCTGCAGCACGAGCTGAGAGGGTCCTAGGAAGTCTTGGGGACACAATGAGGACCATGAGGGATCATTGCAGGGGTGCCAGCCCTATTTCCAGCTCACACGCATGCACACACATGTATATGCACACCTCACATACACACGCACTGTGCAGGCACATGGGTGTACCCAGCTCGGTATACCATGGCACCTACACACACATGGTACACACTCATTTGTGCATGCAAACAGAATCACATGTGTAGCCAGAGAGGCCTGGAGTGGTCAGCTGTGAGGACCACCAGTGGGCCTGGCACGGTCACCGAGGGGGAGGAGAGAGGAGGAGGAGGGAGGCAGCTGCAGGGCAGGTGGGTGGTGGGGTGAGGCGAGGTGGGTGGTGGGGTGAGGCGAGGTGAGGCGAGGGGGAGGCCTGTGCTAATTCTCCCTCATTAACCCCCTGGGTGGCCCTGGGCAGCAGTCCAGAGGTGCAGAGCAAGGGTGCCTGAGGCGGCGAGAGGCCTTGCCAGCCCTGCCAGTCCTGCCGTGAGGTCTTCCCCAGGGCCAGGGCAGTTTGGGGCAGAGGAGGAACCAGCAGCTGGGGGCCCAGCTCTCAACACCCGGGCTGGGACCCTCTGTAACCTTCCCTCTAGCGAACATCATGGGCTGTGCCATCTGTCTGAGCGTGGTCATGTAGGCAGGGGCCCTGAGGGCACCCGTAGATACAGGAAACTCACCTGGGTACACTGCCCCAGGACCCAGCCCATCTCCTTGGCTGCAAGGCCCAGGGCAAGGAAGCCCTGAGCCGAGGGCTGCACTCCCACAGGGCCTGTGAAAGCCTGCACCTTGCTCAGACTCCCTACACAGCTGGCGCTGCCCCCATATACCTAGAAAGCAGCACCCGTGGTGGCATGAGGAACCAGCACCCATGGTGGCATAGGGCCGAGGCTGCTCACCGGGCTGAGCTCGCGGGGCACTCCTCAGCGACCAGGAGGACAGGGGCCCCAGGCGGCCAAGCCCAGGCTTGCACAGTCAGGGAGATGGTCCTGGGGCCATGTTCTAGCCACTGCTATTAGCATCCTGTATCATTCTTAACAATGCACTCAGGCCGGCAGCAGAACTTGACCCAAGCGCCAGCCCTAGGCCTGGGCAGGAGCCTTGGGCACAGACCCTCTGCTAAGCTTGGAATTCCTGGGGTGCAGAGCTAAGTCACCCTGCTTTTGGGGGGGAGGGGGGCGGCAGATGCGGCTCGGCCTCCCCCTCCCTGCAGTTGCCACTCGCCCCTCCTCCCTAACCACATCCCCAGGAACAGACACACAGTGGGGAGAGCACCTGTATTGTGGGGTACAGTCATGAGGGGCACGTAAGTGGCTGCCCGTGCCCCTTCCCCCAAGCACCCTTCCCGGGAGACAGAGATGGGGCAGGGCTCCCGAGCACCACAAGGCCTGCGGGCACAGTCACTCCTGTCACTGGACATGCCAACATCCTTGATTGGGAGCTCCTCCACAGCCAGGGCTGAGGGTCTGGAGGGCGGGCTGTATGGAGGTCGTGAGCTTCTTTGGGGTCTTGCGGTGCATCCCAGGGTCCTGCAGCTGCCGTCCCCTGTCCCTCCACAGTTTGTGCAGGGAGCGTGGCTCACCCAGGAGGTTCCCCCAGGGGGACAGGGAGGGGCAGGGGCTGCAGGTGCCCTCCTGCCAATGCACACCCCTGTGCAAGACTCCTGTTTGTGATCGGCAGGTGGGAGGGCTGGGCACGGGATGGTGGGCTCAGTGAGACTGGGAGGCAGCAGTGGGGCACCAATTGAATCTGGGAGGACTTGCCCCTCTCCTGTGCCCCCTAAGTCCATGTAATAGTCAGGAGTTATTCTCTGGTGCAAGCCAGCTTCCCCACCCCAAAACCCAGAACCATGGAGCAGACCCCAAGGCTGGAGAAAGGACCCCACAGAGCAGGGTCCTGCCCAATCTTGCCAAGGAGAAGCTGGTAGGGGCCACAGCTTGGGGCCTCAGGAGGCCCGAGTTCAAGACCTGCCCCCAGCGCCCCTGGGCAAGCCATCCCCACAGAAACAAGGACCATGAAGGGTTAAGTCAGATGACCGGGCCAGCGCCTGGACTGACAGGGGCAGCTGGGACTCAGTAAACAAGGAACATGAGGATTTGTCCCCCCAGTAGGTCCCCTGGCCCCCAGACAGGTTGCACAGAAGGGGCTCTGCCTGGGTGCTGCCCCTCCCGACTCCACCCACGGAGGCATGGCGTGTGCCCAAGGCCCCAGGCCTCGGGCGTCAACAGCTCTCCCTAATGTCCATGGCAGCTCCAGTCCCGTTGGGGTTTCTGCCAGGCTTGGGGCTCAGCCTGGAGTGAGGCGCTCTCACTTCCTGCCACTGGCCTGGTCGGCGGTTCGCTTCTGCCCAGGGTCTGAGCCGAGCAGGGCGGCGAGGGCGCCATCCGACTGGGGGCCACCCCGTTTCATCTTGAGGCTGGCTCTTAGTGCGGCGTCCTGGCCGGAGCCCCCCTCCGGGGAGGCCAGGGGATCTGCGGGGAGAGCTGGGACTTCAGATACAGCTGTGGCGGCAGCCCCCACCCACCCACAGAGAGGGGCTTGGCTTTCATCCCCTCTCCCATTCCTTCACCCACCCACCTACCTACCTAGGTGGCCATTCATCACCCACCCATCCATCTGCCCACCCAACCCTTTGCCCATGAAGCTTTCATTCATTCATTTATGCAAACACACATTCATTTATTTATCCACCCATGCGTTCATTCACCCACTCATTCATTCATTCATCTATACATTCATTCATTCACCTACTCATGCATTCATTTGCCCATCCATCCAAGCGCCACCCTCCCCAGGGCCTCTAGAGTGCCAGGGCAAGACCTGTAAACTCTAATGACTCCTCAGGGCATTTGTGGGGAGGAGAGGAGGGCTCAGGAAGGCCCTCCCTCTCCCAGGGGAGCCCTGTGGGTGGGTCCTGCCCTGGTCCTGCAGCCACGCTGGGGAGGGTCCTGTGATCTTGCACAGGGCCCTGACGCCAATTTGGGGCAGGCCAGTGCGATAGTGGGGAGTGCAGAGGCCACTGGACAGCTCAGGGGACCCCCGGGGGTGCTCACCGTGGACCCCAATCATGTGCTCCAAGATAAGGACCCTCTCCGCCAGGATCTTCAGGGCCTCCCGCAGCTGCTGCACCCCCTCGCCCTGGTGGGGAGGGAATGGTCAGGGCCAGCCTCTCCCAACGCGGGGTCTGAGGGCTTCCCGCTGCTACCCTCACTTCCCCCTCCGCCCCCTCACCATCACCCGCCTCACAGCCAGCACAGACTGAGGCCCTGCTACGTGCCAGCCCGCGGCAGTGGGCAGGGAGTCTCCAATTCTCAAACATAACAACAGAGGCTCTGAAAAGTAGCCGGCGCCCCTGGGGCCACACAGCCCTGCCCTCCATAGCCTTCTTCTATTGGCCTCTGGCTGCCACAATTCCAGAAACTTTTCGGGGACAGGGCAGTACACCTGGTCCAGGGAGCTTTCATTTCCTGCCTGGGCCGCCAGCCAGGGGTGGCTGCGGGAACAGTGCAGAGAGAGTGGCCACAATCATGCTTGGCCAAAGATGAGGGTGGGGGCTAGGGGACACCGAGAGGGAGCCCACACGGACCAGCAGGTGCCCATGTGGGTCAGCAGGTGCCAACATGGGCCAGCAGGTGCCCATGCAGGCCAGTAGGTGCCCACATGGGTCAGCAGGTGCCCACATGGGTCAGTAGGTGCCCACATGGGCAGGCAGGTGCCCACATTACCTCTGTGGTAGTTTTCTCCTCGCTGTCTCCCTTCCCAGCAGGTTCACCCTAGAAAGCAAGTGAACCCATCAGTACCCCAGGGCACAGAAGGTGGCAGGGGCCAAGCCACCCCATCCCAGGCCATCGCTGTTCCATCCAGGTCTTCCCTAGGTCCAGCCCCCCTCCGGCTGGGGACACTGTGAGGCTGAACTCCAGAGCCCTGTGTCCTAGGCCCATCTCCCAGCCCCATGCCTCCAACCCTGCACACGTCCACACTCACGGATGGCCCCGCCGTGGCCCTCTCGCCCGCAAGGCCCTGTAGGAAACCAAACCAGGGAGTGACCCAGGAGGCCACACAGGGTGCTGCTGGCAGTGACCATGGCCCAGGCATCAGTGTGTGGCAACCCCTGACCACAAAGGTCCTCTGTACCTCCCTCAGCAGGGACCCCAGCTTCCCACTCCCACTTTCTGGCCAGGTCTATCTGCTAAATCCATCACCATCCTGGGCCAGCCCACAGCCTCACTGCCAGCCACCCCGGCCTCCCTCCCAGCGCCACTCCGGCCAGCCCGTCCCCACCCACAGTGGCTAGAGGACCCTGTATGGGGGAAGTGGGATCCTGCGCTGGCTCTCCACACCACCTAACGAGAACCAACCCTGCCTGTCCCCTTCCCCCACCCTGCCTCCTCAGCGCATGCTGCTGGTAGTGCCCTGCCTGTGCCTTGAGCCCCTACACTGCCTTCCTCCTCCACCTGGAACAGAGGTGGGGTGCACAGCTGGGGATGCAGTGAGCCCGGGCCTCAGAGCTGCCCAGTCGGGCTCTGGGCACCCCTGCCCACAGATGAGGGGTGACAGGTGGAGGTTGACAGATGAGGTGCCAGGTGAGGGTACAGGTGGGGTGACAGGTGAGATAACACGTGAAGGGTGACAGGTAGGGGTGACAGGTGAATGTGCTGTGACTCTGCTATCCCCTGCACAGTCCCAGGCCTCCTTGGAGCTCAGCTCATCTGTGAAACAGAAGTGACGCTGGCATCGCCTGGCATGCGCAGGAACAGGACATGGGTTCCCCTGCACTGTGCTGGGAACAGTACAGTCCTTACCGGGGATCCGGGGGCTCCTGGCGGTCCCGGGGGCCCGTGTGGTCCAGGGGGGCCTGTGGACAGAGTCACAGATGGGCCTGGTGAGGTCCACTGCCCCTGTGGACCTCCTGCCATGACCCCAACGCTCCGGAGGACAGCAAGAGGAGCCTGGGAATGAATTCTGGGGAGTCAGGGCCCACCCACTCTCCCTACACCTGCTCAGAGGAGAGAGCCCCTCAGAAGCTGTCCACTTGCCTGGGGGGCCAGGGGGACCTCGGGGGCCAGGGACTCCTGCCAGCACGGTGTCCACAACAGCAGGGACCAGCTGGGAGTCTCCATCTGGGAACAGAGCAGAGCGGCTGGTGACACGTTGGAATGGGAGGGAACCTTCATGCCCTGGCCAAGAAGGAGGCCCAGGGCAGTCAGCGGGCAGGGGAAGGTGGGTCAGAAAACTTCTAGAACATTCCAGACTTGCCCCCAAGCCCCAGACTAGTGCTGTCCTCCAAGTTGTGCCCTCCTACGGCCGTCGATGCACCTGCCTGGTTCCCTCTGCAGGGCCTCCTCCAGAGAGCCCTCCAGGCCCAGCCCTCTGGGCTGCGTCCAGCACCACTTCACAACCTGGGACCCCTCCTCAGAACTTCATCCCGTGCCATCCCCAGAGCCCGAGCACCAGGGTATGTGTGCGCAGGTGTGGGGTATCCCCCACTCGAAGGCCAGCTCAGGTGCCCCTGCTGCCCCATCCCCCGATATTCCTGCCTCTCCCCAACCCCTCCCCACCCCCACCAGGGTCAGCCCCGGCTGGCACTGGGCTTTCGGCCTTGCTACACAAAGTGGACATTCCAGCAGCAGTGGCCTCCCCAGGGTTTCTTGTCCCGGGAACACGCATGTGAATGGCACCCCGGCCAGCGGTCAGCCCACCTCCAGGGACACCTGCTGTCAGCTCCCTGCATGCACCCTGGGTGGCTGCGGCGATGGCCTGGCCACCCTCAGGGGAAGACCTGGATGGGGTTCCCAGGACTGACCGGCTCTGTCAGGAGTGGACCTCAGCGAGTAGAGCACACCTTGTGGGCCGGCTGGGCCAGGGGGTCCTGGGGGGCCTGGGCGCCCTGTCTCTCCAGGAAGTCCCCGAGGCCCGGGTGGCCCCAGGAGCCCTATGACAGAGAAGAGAGGGAGGCGTATGTAAACCAAGTAACTTAGGGGTGCACACACACACACACACACCACCACCACCACCACCATGGGCCTAGTGTAGGCAGGGACATGGCAACCAGCTGCATGGGACAGAGACGGGGCCACCTTGATGGGTGGCAGCGCTGTCCCCAGCCTGCCCAGGGGTCACTCCCTCCTGCAGGACCAGGACCCGGTGGGGGGAGAAGGAGGGGTCCCAGAAGTCCTCCAGTGGCTGACAATGCGCCCCGCCCCCCACCAACACGTTCACCACCAGTTGTGGGTGTGTCCGCACCGGGAGGCCCCGCTGGGCCCTTCTCTCCTGTCTGGCCTCGGTCTCCTTTGGAGCCCGGGGGACCTGCAGGGCCTGGGGGTCCCGTCTGTCCTGGGGGTCCTGGAGAGAGAGGAAGATGAGAGCCGAGACCTGATCCATCTGGTCCAACTCACCCGTGCCTCAACCCTCACCCCTACCCTGGGTTGGCATGCCATTGGTCACAGTGGTCTTAATCCATGACCTTAAGGCATACTGCTGCACCCATTACACAGGTGGGCAAACCGAGGCTAGGGAAGGCCAGCTCGGGACCACGTCTCAGGTCCCTGTTAGGGCTCAGGGGGCCCCAGGTTGAACCCTAAAGAACCAAGCAGGATACGCCTGTCCAGTTCCCATCTCCTGGCCCCAAGAGAAGGTAAGCACGCGTGAGGGCCAATCGGTGGTCTGCGGACAGCCGGAGGCCACCCTGGCCACGCCGGCTGTGCCCACTTACTGGCCTGAGGAACAAGGCAGCCCAGAACCAGCCAGGCTGCTCCATTTACGGGGTGTGGGCCCCACCCAGTGGCCATCCTCGGAACTGCACTTCCCCGCAAGACATTTTCCTTCACCTCCGCCCCCACAACCCCATTGCCAACTTTTAGAAGCTGGGAAATTTGGAGCCTGGAACTTCTGCCGGGTGGTATGCGCCCTCTGTCAGTCCCAGAAGAGATACTGGGCATGGGGAGGGGGCGTGAGAGACTTCGGGGCCAGTAGCTTGGGGCTGTGTTCTAAGAGAACCAGAAATCCTGCAGGGGTGCTCACCAGCTGGGCCCGTGGGCCGCCTCCTGGGGGACCCCGGGTAGGCGAGGGGGATGGCGCCAGGCAGGAAGTCCTGGTCCCAGGGCGGCGCCGTGCCGCGGGCGGCCGGCAGGTCGTTGTCCCTGTCCTCTGGGCGCTCGGCAGCTTCCAGGAGGAGGACCTGGGAGAAAGAGGGGTGATGAGGCGTATGGTCAGGCGCCCTGCGCCAGGTCCCCTTCCTTCTTCCCAGCTCAGCGCACACACTTCGTGGTTCGGGAACGCTAATGGCTACGAGGGAAGGAGCAGGAATGCAGGCTGGAGGTAGAGGGTAAAGGGCTGTAACCCTGGGACCCTATCCCCTCCATTCTTACCCCTCCAGCCAAGCAGGATTCAGATTACCCAGCCTGGTCCCGGTGCCAGCCCTCTCTGGGCAGCAGAGGGAGCTGTGCACCAGCCATGGCTGCAGGCCGGTCCCTCTGGGGACGTTCGTGGGTCAGGGCACACAGATGGACTCCATCAGCTTCAGAGGCAGGCCTGGAGGCACTTCTGCGGGTGCACACGCCTGGGGCCCCTCTGGGTGGTCCCTTCACCAACTGCAGCTCCTTGCCCCCACACCACGAGGGGTCACCTGTCCTTTCCCTTCCTGGGCCCCTGAGACAGGTGATGGGCCCAGCCCGTCAGCACCTCCTCCTCCCCACAGCACTGGAAGAAGAGCAGCCTTGAGCCCTGGGCCAGCTCCTGGGCAAAGCTAGGACTGGCCATGGCAGAGAAACAGGAGGGTGTGAGCACCCAGCAGAGCATGGCCACTGGGGGCAGGACCTGGGGCTGGGCCTGGGCTGCCGACCATGAGGCTCACCCACCCCAGCGAGGTGCCCTGCCCTGCCCCCCCACTACCCCCTGTCCCAGCAGGGCCCAGCTCTAGTCCATCTCATCCAGCTCAGCAGGGAGGGTGGCAGTGGGGGTGGGGACTCCAGCCAAGAAAGTCAGACCACAGCTCAGAGCGGGGGCAGGGTCGGCTGGGATGATGTCACCCACTGGGGCCCATCCTGCCCCAGCGAGTGGCTTCTCACAGCCCTTGGTGGCGGAAAAGGCGGATGGAATGTTCCGGTGCCTGGCTGGCCTGCTGTGGGTTGGGTACACCTGCACCCTTCCTCATGCCCCAGGCAGCCTCGCTGTTGCTGGGGTGCCCCTGGTTTCTAACTCCCTGGCTGCGGTCCTGCCTCACTGGCTCTGCCTTTCCCTGCTGGAACCTCAGCCTCTGCTTCACAGTAGCTCTGGGTCCCCCAGGGACCCCCTGCTCATGTTCCCCAAACTCCCTCCAGGCTGCCACCTGGCAGGGACCCCTGCTGTGGGCCCACGAGGCTCTCAGTAGCCCCATTAATTCAGGGGATGCCTGGGCACGTGGGACAGCTGGAAAATGAGCTGGACAAGGTGAGTCAGGGGTTTCCCAACCCCCAGCTGGAAATTCAGGACTAAGGAGAGTGTGGGCTTGCTGCCTGGCCCCTCGCCCCCAGCTCCCACGGGCGGACCAGCCTGGAAGGCACAGGGTGGAGAGGGGACCGAAAGGAAGGTGACTCCTTCACGTCCACTTTACAGGTGAGTAGACCGAGGCTGCTGAAGGAGGGGGCCTGCCCAGCCCACACACCCTGCAGACCCTGCCTCGGCCCACAGGCTCCTCACCCTGCAAGGACTGGAGTCCCAGGCACACCACGCCCCTGCCTGCTGCAGACTTGGGAGCCAAGGAGGGGGCGGAGCTGCTCATGGCAGGCGGGGTGGGTGAGGGCAGCTGGCACGGGGCCGCTCCCCTGCAGCTGTGACTTTTCACACCCTCAGTGCTGGGCAGGGGCCAGGCTGAGCTGTTGGCAGCTGCTTCAGCTGCTCTGTGCCAAACCTCGTGCATGGCTTCCCCAGCCACGCCACGCCGACCCCACCCGTTTCCAGAACGCGGGAGCTGGGAGTTCACTCCTGTGGCTTCCCCAGTGACACCCCTCGCTCTCCAGAGGGCTCCCCAGTTCTTCCTGCCCCGCTAACCTATAGCCTAGGACCTTGCCCATGTGTACCAGGGCCCAAAGCTGTGGGAGGAAGCTCATGGCTGGGGACTCCCCAGGTCACGTGGCATGGGTTCTGACTCAAACCCAGATTCCAGGTCAGCACCCAAACATGGCCAGAGCCGAACTGGGTCCTACCGGCCCACCCGTGGTTCCCAGCAGCCTCAGGAGTCTGGCGTCCTTTACTGCTGGTGGTGCCGATGTGGGGTGGAGGTGCAGGAGCCTGGAGAGAATGGGCGCCCCCTGACTCTGTGCAGTGGCGCCTGTGGGTGCCCACAGGTTCAGGGCTGCCAGAGCAGAGAGGCAACGTGGGCTGTCCAGGACTGCATGTGTGTGCCATGTGTGCATCTGTGGCTATGCGTGTGTGCGGCTGTGTGCACACATTCACACATGCACACGCGTATCTATGTTAATGCAGGGGAGGCCGTGTGTCACAGCTCTATGCATGCATGGGTGTGGCTGTGTGTGCACTTACAGACATATGTTCATATGTGCATGTGAGTGACTGCGTGCAATCAAACCCACACAGTGGCTCTTGAGGCTTCTCAGCCAACCTCTGGGCCTGCCCTTGGGGACTTGTGCTGTCTGGGGCCCCGTGCCCATCCACCTCTCTTGTCTCTCATCCCCACTCGAGCCTCCCTGCCCACTGTGGCGAATGCAGCCCCTCCTGGGTGGCCCCGGCTCTCTCCACTGCCCCAGGAGGCTTGCAAGAGCCGTGGTGCTGGCCTTAGCAGCCTGGTCCCCCGGGCTCGTGCTCCTCCAGGCCCACAATTGTCCCCTCTCTCCTCATCATGGTGGACGCTGTCAGAGCCCCACACGGACCTGCCTGTACCCCACGTGCTGAGACGTCTGTTTGCGGACGCCTGTGTCTCTTGGCTGCGGGGCCCTGCTCCAGCTGCGGGCGTGTGCTAGGTGGGTGCACCCTATCCAGGCTTCCGGAGCGGGTCAGCCCAAGTGCCCACAGGTAACTGCTCCACAAGCACGCCTGCGCCAATCACAGCCTTCCCATTCTTGTTCCTCAGCCAGGCTGTCACCTCAACCCTGACTGAGTCCCTGGAATCCAGCCAGGCTTCTCCCCACATCAGCCCTGGGCTTGTCTTCATGACTGGCATGGGGAGGAGGGGCCGGGGCCAGGACTGCACCCCAAAAAGGGCCTGACAGTGTCCTCTTTACACTGATCTGGGTGCTAAGGCCCCTGGCCCCTTGACCTAGGACTCAGGAGACAAGCACTGCTCCAAGAGCCACAGCCATGTCAGCTGGCCCGGGACCTTCAAATGCCTCACCCTGTCACTCTCTCCATGCCAGGATACCAGCCAGCCCTGCCCAAGGAGGCCGCCTACAGCCAGCCAGAGCCCAGGACCAGGCCGCTCAGGTGTCTGATGTCTTCCAGCCCCGCCCACAGCCCGCTGACCTTGGACTCCAGCGTGGTGAGCCGCTCGCTCATGTCACTGAGCCGGGTGCAGTTCATGCATTCTGGAAGAGAAGAGAGGTGGGGTGAGCCCAGCACAGAGACCCTGGGCAGAGGGGTGCTTGTGGGACCCGGTATTTGACCTGGAAAACTTATTCATCTCCAGGACTTTGTCCTTAAGATCCTTCGATCCTGGCAGTCTGCTGGACCTCTCAGCTTACTTTCATTAGGAAGTCAGAGACTGCTCACCTACTGAGGGCGTGATTGTGTGGGGGCGTAGTCTGCCTGCATGTGTCTGGTCATGGCTGCCCCCGTGTGAGCCCATTCCTGGGCTCCTGACACTGCCTTGCCCCCTCATCCCGGCAACACACACACACACACCCCTCAACCACAGCCCAAGGTGATTTCAAAGGACTGGGGTGCCGTGTCCAGAGGTTGGGCTCTTGCACGTTAAGCCCTATCTCTTTAGGAGAGCGCTTCAGACACCCCCTCCACCCCCATGCCTCCTGTGGGATATATGACCTTGATCAAAGGCTGGGGATCCAGGCCAGGTGCAAATCTGAGAGAGGAGGAGGAATCAGAGCATCCTTGAGTCTGTGATAAACCCCGGAGGCCTGCTGCCCTGATTAAGAAATGGAGGTGGGGGCTGGTCCCTGGCGTAAGCCAGCTTTGGACTGGGTCATCTGGACTTCCGTTGGAGTGCCCCTGCTTCCAGGCCAGGGAGAGGCAGGACAGTCTGCAAGGGCCACAGGGGTGGTCGCTCTCCAGCACCTGCTGACAGCAGGAGCCTCAGGGGAGGGCTTCAAGCTTCCAGATTCCTCCAAGGACGCATCCAGCGGCTGCAGCCAGTCCTTGGGGATCTGGGAAAGGAAGGGGCTTAGGGTCTGTCCCCCACCCCAGGAGAGGCGATCAGATGGGGTTGTTACAAGACTGGGGATTGAGGCGGGGGGTGGGGGGGATGGATGAGGTTTACGCCACACGGCAGGGGCTTTCCTGCAGGTTGCAAGCTCATGGAGGGCCATGTGGGCTCATGGCCCGCACGCTGCATGCTCCTGAACAAGGTCTGTGTGTGCGCGAGGAGAGAACTGTGCCCTGCCTTTGGGAAAGCTTTCCAGCCTGGCGGAGCAAAGCAGAAACCTCCGCCCCAAGCTGCGAGCTCCGCCCATGGCTGGTGTCCACCCGGCAGGCCCACACCTGCCCCCCAGGGGAGCGAGCAGCTGCAAGGAACTCCGGCAGAGGAAGATGCAGGGCGAGCGACCTCCCATCTGACATCATCCGCCTGCGGTTCCAAGAGACTAAAATTAGGCTGAGAAAACGGAGGCCACAGAGCGTGTTACTTGAGGTTTCCAAAGAAAACACGGGTGCGGGCCAGGAAATGGGTCAGGAAAGAATTTCTGTGACTCAGGCCCAGCATGTGGGACTCCATTCACCAGCAGAGGCGAGGCGAGCTGAGCCACCAGTGGGACTCAAGTTTCGGGAGGCTAGCACGTCGCCAAATCCAGGGCCCTGCCTCGCTGAGTCCACTTTACAGATGGCTCAGAAGAGATACGCATCCCCGGGTTGGCTGAGCGCCATCTGAGAGCACCCCCACTCCTACCCCTACCACGACAGAAGCCCACCTCCTCAACCAGAACACTTCCTGAAGCGCTCAGCGCTGCTCAGCAATCAAAGGAATGCCACTAGCACTGGGTGACCAATCAGGAATGTGGACACGAGCTGGACACACCTCTCTCGCCCCCCCCCACTTGAGCACATACAAAGCTTCACCCCTAAGTCCTTGGGAAGTCCAGGGGCTCAACGACAGCAGCTCCTTGCGCTGCACTCGACAAATAAACATCTTCTTTCTTCCACCACCCCATTGATGGAGATTTTTCTAAAGATGTGTTTTATTTATTTGAAAAGTAGAGTTAGAGAGATCTTCCATCTGGCTGGTTCACTCCCCAAATGGCTGTGATGGCGGGGGCCCGGGGCCAAGTTGAAGCCAGCGGGCCAGGAATTCCAGCTGGGTCTCCCACGTGGGTGGCAGGCCCCCCTACTCTCCCCCCCTCTCCCCCTCCCCCATCCTTGGGCTCTTCTGCTGCTTTCCCGCATGAATTAGCAGGGAGCTGAATGGGACAAGGTGCAGCTGGGACTTGAACCAGAGCTTCTATATGGGATGTCAGGGTTGCAAGCAGCGACTTAACTTTCTGTGTCACAACGTTGACCCCCCAGTTTGGGGGTCTGGCAACAACTCCTTCAGCTAGTTGGTGTTGGCGGGGAGGCGAAGCTGTTTTGAAAAAGCAGCGTTTGGCTTCTTAGGAGACCACGACCACGGGGGTTCTGATAAACCCCTGCCACCCCATGGAAATGAGGAGTATCTGTCTCCATAGCAGAGGAAGAAGGCAGGGAGCTAGCAATTCACAAAATGCCACCCGCCCCACAAGGATTTGGGGTCTTAAGTCCAAGAGCAGTGAGAGTTTGGGGACTAAGGTGAGGTTGTCTGTGGCCTAAGTTTGTGTGTCAGCCTCATCTTCTTACAGTGAGAGAAACGTGGCCCAGAGAGGCACAGTTATTTGCCCAAAGTCACACAGCAAAAAGTGGCTAGAGCGATCCCAGCTAAGTCACCATTTCTCCCTCAACCAGCACCCTCTGCCGCCGGCCGTGGTCCTGGGCGGGGGTGGCTTGCCCAGGGGAGACCAGCTGGCCTCGTTGGCTCACCTGAGCAGGTGCATACAGAGTGTGAGACGCAATGCCAAACACAGGAGCAACCAAAGCAGAGAAGTTGGACATCATTCAAGTTAAAAAAAAAAAAAAGAAAGAAAAGAAAAGAAAACCAAACTTTCACACCTCACAGGCTTGTCTCCAGAGAGAAGGCAAGCTACAGAACGGGAGCAAAATCCTCGCACATCTTCGTACACCTGATGAGAGCTGCTATCCCGCTTCTGTGTGATCACCCCAAGAGCTGGCTGGCGCAGCTGGGCAAGGACTCGGCCAGACATTCTGCGAACAAGACAGTCCCCTGGCCAGCAGACACGTGACAAGATGCTCGGGGTAAATGCAAGTCCAAACCACAACCGGATGTCCGTGCACAACCACTTCGATGGGTATAATTAATAAAAAAAAACAAACAACCCTCCAAACAGAACACTCAGCCAGCACTGGTGGAGATGTGGAATCTGCTTGGCTGGGAGACGGTGTGGCTCCTAGGAAGCAGTCAGGGGCAGGACGAAGACCCCACCGTCATCCTCCTCCTGCACACATGCTCAACGGCACGGGCCATCAGCGTCAACAGCACAAACACCAACCGCCTCCACCCCAAGCTGAGAATGCCCATCGACAGACCGGGGGAACCGATGACACGTGGAATACTACTCAGCCATGAAAAGGGTGGAGTTCTGAAGGGGCTACCAGCACACTCGAACCTCCACCACAAAGGTCTGTGTGTGCCCAAGTGTAGGTGATATATTCATAGTAAACAAACCCCTGGGGACAGAGTGTGACTTTTGCTGGTCACAGGCTGGGGAGAAGGAAGGGAGAAGGTCAAGAAAGGACAGCAGCACTCCACGTGGAGTGATGGGACCACATGCAGGGCCACTGCATTTTCGACTCTATGCTTCTTGCTTTAAAAACCAGCCAGAGGGGCTGGCATGATGGCTCAATTGGCTGATCCTCCGCCTGCAGGTGTTGGCATCCTATATGGGCACTGGTTCGACTCCCGTTTACAACCACTGTCCCAAATCCCTGCTTGTGGCCTGGGAAAGCAGTTGAGGATGGCCCAGCGCCTTGAGGCCCTTCATCGGCATGGGGGACCCAGAAGAAGCTCCTGGCTTCCGGCTTAGCTCTGGCCATTACAGCCATGTGGGGAGTGAACCAGTGGATGGAAGATGTTTCTCTCTTTCTCTCCTTTTCTGTATAAATCTGCCTTTCTAATAAAAATAAACTATTAGAAAAAAATCAGGCAGAAAAGGCGACATGGGGGTGCCTTCCTCTGTAGTCCCCGTGACTCCTCCCTCAACCCCAGGAGAGCTGCAGCAGAGGTGGGGGTGGGGGCATGGATCCCAGCCTCATGCACTTGATGGATGCTCACGGACCTCACATGAGGAGGGGCGATCAATTCAGGACCCAACAGGAAAGGGTCTTGGTCTGAAATGTTGCCACTTCCAGCTTGAAGTAGCATCACTTCCCGTGGAAAACGAAATCCTCCAGCCCTGGGATTCCCTTTGTCCCTTCAAAAGGTGACTGCCACCCTCACTGGAGAAACCTCTCCCAGGCCGAGGCCACAATGCTGCCTTCCCTAGGGGGAGCTACCCCACTCTCTCAGCTCCCCAGGAGGGTCAGACTCCACCCCTGCCATCCGCCAGACTGGGTGGGAATTCCTGACGCATGCCTGCACTTCTCCAGAGTGCGAGTGACGGTGGGACTGGAGCAAGCTACCTAACCGGCAGAGCCTCGTGGTCACCCTGTGTTGGCTGTTCTTACTCGTTTTTGTCATTTATTCTACCCAATCCTAACAAGAAAAGTCCCACCTGTCTCACCGAGTTAACCTAACAACCCGTATGACAGTCACTCTGCCTAGAACCAGTGTTAAGCCACCAAAGGCTGAAAGCGAGTGGAACTGATTTTTCAAACTTTTGAAGGTTCCGTGAGGTCTGGAAACTCCCACTTCTCAGGTCTTCCCCAGCTAGGGGCATAGGGCCATGCTTAGGGGCACCGGGGGAATTGAGGGAGCCTCGTTCCAGTCTGTACTGAGATGCAAGGAGACGTGGAGGATGTGTGAAGAGGCAGGAAGAGACAGGACAGACAGGGAACGGAGCTGAGGGATAACAGCCACAGTAGAAAGTACTAATGTGACCTTGGCAATGAACCCACCTGTTTTAAACACAGTCCGACTGTTCACCATAGCCCCGTGGAGCAGGAAATACTACAAGGTGCAGAAGGGAAACTGGACAGGTTAGAGGATCTCGTGGATGGAGCCGGACAGAACTGGGGGATTCGGTCTCCAGGGACCCCCTGCTTGGCCACCACAGGGGCTATCACCAGCCCTGACCAAGGTAAAATGTGAGTAGTTACAGGAGGCGTGAATCCA